ATTATTATTATTATTATTATTATTATTATTATTATTATTATTATTATTATTATTATTATTATTGTTATTATTATTATTATTATTATTATTATTATTATTATTATTATTATTATTATTATTATTATTATTATTATTACTGCTACTATTAGCACTGCTGCTTCAATTCCATTATTTCCTTAGCATCATTCGTCTTTTTATTACCTTTCGAAACAAATATCTTCTAAAATTTATGGAGGAATTCAATTCTCATATAATTCTTCCATTACTTTTCTTTAAATTGAATTTTCTGTTCCATCACCTAAACATTAATAATAATTATTAATGGATCGAAAAAACTGTAGTGTCCTGTGCACTTATACATACGTCAACAATTACTTGTTAATTTAGTTCATTAGTTTAAAAATATTTTGTGACGTAACGACTTAAACTATTACAAATCAACATCACTACCTAAAATAGGTTGTAACACTTATTGTTGTCATTAATATTTCCTGCAGTATTTCGCTAATTTCTGGTGTTATTTACTCAGTTTTCCAGTGTTAACATTTTCACTGATTCTTCATCACTTCACTTTCTGCAAAGGCATTGCAGACACGACTGAATGTGTCACTTAGTTAACGATCATTACCATCATTATGCTGTTGAAGAAGCTTAATGACGACAATTGTAATATGCATATATATATGTATATATGCAATTGATTGAATTATTGCTATATCTGAAAAGTTGCAACTGAAAGAACTTCAATTCTGCAACTGTCAAACAAATGCCCGAAATTTTTCGTTTTATTGAAGATATTGATGCTATCTGTTTAATTTATACTGGAGTAAAGTTTATTGTTCTGCAAACAATTTATTTATGTGCCAAGTGAGCTAAAAGAGGAAAGTGCCATCGGTTTTTGCCACTGCTTTGTGGTGACAAGTGAAAATAGATTGAAATCTTCATTTTTGATTGTTTACTAATTGCTATCACTGTTAAAAATGAGGAAAGAAACGAAAGTACGTTACAAGGAAGCTAATTCATCTTTACAAATTCAAATTTTACTCATATTAACGATCTTTTTTGCATTCATCATTCTGCTCTTGACTTTTCTGATTTTTTCATCCAAGCAACGTTTCGAACTACAAACTACTGTGCATCAGCGTAGCTCCACAAACAATACTTCGATCATTAATTCTCAGCAATATCTCAGGCTGCCTACCACGATTTATCCATTACATTACGACCTCAAACTACAAATATATCTTCCCTATCGGGAAGGTTTAAATTTTAATGAACGGAATTTCAGCATTCATGCAGATGTAGCAATTCGTGTTATCTGTTTGCATGCAACTGATCGAATCATTTTGAATGCTAAAAGTTTGAAGTTTGACGAAAGTGATGTAGAAGTTCAAAACAGTTATAACGAATCGATGCCGTTGATCAGCATAAATCGGTATCAACATGAAGTGAATAATATCCATGTTGTTGAGATAGTACTGATGCAGGAACTTGATTCTGGACACGATTATATGATTTATATCAGATACCAGGGCATTATCAATGATGTTTGGTCTGGTGGTTTTTACAAGACTCAATACAATATCAATGGAGAAACAAGGTGTGTTATAATTCTTTTTACATTTTCCTTTCCTCCTCCTTTTTTATATCTTTTCAGATTACAAAATAATTTCGATGCTTGAATATTTAAATGATGATAACTAAACGATCATTTGTAATGGAATTACCGGATAAAATTATAAATTTTCGATATTTCTCAGGAATTTCTTTCAGCTATAATTTTTGAAGAAAAATACAGGTAGAAAATAATATTTTTCAAAATTTCGACTTTTTTGATCTTTCCAAATTCTGCAGATTTTTTTCCCTAGTTAAATAAAATATAATCAAATTTTCTTTCTTGTTGTCAGGAATGAATTGAATAGTTCAGAATTCAAATTGTCCGCTTTTCGCGTAATCCGATTTTAGCTAAGAGATTTTGCTTTGTGAAAGAAAGTTTTATCTAAAATATTTTCCTCTTTTCATACATATTCATTCGATATACTATTTTTATTTCCATTGAAATATATTTTTCATAATTTTGAAATGTATTTTGATGCATATTATCCTGCAAAAATATAGTGCATACATAATCGCTTTTTGCTAGGGTGGAAGTATCATTTCTTCTTTTTTCATCTCATGAAATTTTCCAAAAAGAAATCGAGTGCAAAATTTAAATTTCGCTTTAAAATAAACAATTCGAAAAAAGTTCTTCTTGTCAAAAAATGATCACATATTTCTGATAAATCGTTTTCATGAGCATTGCGGAAAGAGAGGAGTAAAAGAAAAATGCTTCATCAGTTTCCTATTTTCTTTATTACCACTGAAAAATGCATTTGGACTGGTTATATTTTTTCAGATGATCAATTTGTGAATTCCGGCAAGAAACAAAAAATAAGTCATCAAAAAGTGGCATCCAAGTAACCGCATTTCTATTTCAGGTTGTTGGCACTTACACAACTACAGCCAACCGATGCAAGTCGTTTATTCCCGTGTTTCGATGAGCCGGAAATGAAAGCAACATTCAAGATTAGTATAATCCATCCTATGGGTACGTCGGCTGTCTCCAATTCACCAGTCCGTCACTTTCGTCATCTCAATTCGTGAGAACCTTTTATTTTCTTGATTATGCAATTTGTTTATTCCTATTCAATGTTCAAAATATAGTAAGTAAATTTTTGTGGAGCAAAATCGAACTGAAATTTTGAAGATTTAAATTAAAATTATGAAAAAATTTAATTGGAACCTAACGATTGTTTGTTGGGCAGTAGACCGAGGGTGCCAAGTGGAAAGTAAATTATGCCTAAAAAAATTAGACCATTGTCGCATAGTATACTATTGATTAATAAGTGGTACAAAAGAGGACAACTTTCGCACATATTTCCCCTCAGTGCTGGATTTGCCGATCAAAACTTTCCATCGATGCTAGACTTGGAACACTTCCCTTCTGTTTGCACAACATTCCATTGATACCTGCGGTATTTGTCAGTTGTTACTGTGCTTAGCTGGAGTTATATGATCTTTTATCAGGATTTATTTTGTAGAAAATGGAGTAAGACAGAATTTGGAGTGACACCTACCATGTCAACCTATTTGCTAGCAATAGCTGTCAGTGATTTTGTTTTCAAGTTTCGTCATTGCGGAAAGATTGAAGTTTGCTTTTGTTTTTTTAAATACAACCGGAGGTTTCATATTCTTCTAATAACATATTAAATTAAATGAGAACGATTTCTAATAGAATGTCTGTTAAGCTAGCAAAAAGCATTTCTTTAAAAAAAGAAAGGAAAAACGAAAAATTTGTAAGATTTTCCAACACCAAGGAGAGTTATCACCAACATGGAATTTTCCTCAACATCGCTCAATTTAATTTCATTGATGAGACAATCAGATAATGTCTTTAGACATACAGTTACTTTGGAATTTTTAATCCAAGCAAAATTTTTTATTTATTTTTTTAATATTGTCTAAATTGCCATTTCTTGTTTTACCAATATTTTCATCTTACAATTACGAATTTGAATTTCCGGTTGATTATTATTTCCAATTCATTTGCAATTCAATAACTTTTTCTCTGCATACACATAATCCAATCTGTAAAAATTTATAGACTTTGAAGGATGCAACAAAAAAATTTTATTTCATCCTTCAAAACCTATAGATTCGGTCACTCGTCATTTTATTTTATCTTCTTCATTGTTATTTCTTTCTCACTGAAATTCTTTTGCCTCAAATTTAGCCGGACATGTTCGTTTGATCACAGTACATGTTACTCAATATGGCGTTTCTAGGGCATTAGTAATATCTTTTCTAAACTTAAGGCAGCTTCCACTACCAAAAACTAACCCTTGACAGTTGTCAAGAGTAAAGATCAAAATTTAAATGACGATTGAAAACAACGGCCATTACAACTTTGTCATCGAAATTGTTGTTGGCATTCTCTAAGTGTTTGATGTTTACCAAAGTTTATTGAATCATTTGCTATTTCGGGAAAAAAAAACAGTAGAAATCCATATCCTTTACATATTCATTATTAATAATATGTCGTCATTTGAAACATTTGTAAGAGTTAAAGATGAAAGATTATTTAATGACTATCAAAGTTTTTTTAAATAAAAATTTGCAAAAATTAGAAGAGATCCGCATCTTAATATGGTAAGGGTCGTTTTTCTTAATTTACGTTAAGCAAAAAAAAAAAAAAACTTAAGCAAACTTAAGAAAAACTTAAGCAATTAGTGAAGATTTAAAAATATCAATTCAAATGGCATTCATCTTTTTAACATCAGATTCGATTCAGTTTATAACGAGAGTAAATGAAACAAAAAAAGGAGCTTCCTGTTTGAATTAATTGAATTAGTCTTTGAATTAGCATTCAGAGACTGGAATACCAGAAATATATCAAAATATAAATAAGCAAAACGAAAGCTTTAATTCATTACTGTTAGAATTCATCAGTAATAAATTTAAATTTAATTTGAAATGAAATAAAAGACAATAAATTAATTTGTAGATTCGTGTTTGGTGCCAATCGGCAATGGTATATGATATCGATTATGCGCTTCGTATTACATGCCGATTGTTAATTTATTATGAAAATTTCTTCTCCATTCCATATCCACTCAAAAAACTTGGTCTGTTCAATTTTTTCAATCCGAAATTCCTATTTTAATTGACTTTTATTTTTCTTTATTTTTCCAAAATATTAATAAAAGTGGAGGATAAGGCAAAAAAAATGTCTGAACAAATAGCATTGGAGTCATTTTCGATTGAATCTAAAACATTATTACCTTTAAATTTGTTATCCATAAGCAAAAATAGTAAAATTTTCGTGCTTTTTATAATTTTCCTTTTCATTTCTCTCAATTTTCTCCTTTAATTTTTGCAATTCATATAAAATACTTGCTTGCGTTTCTTTCTTTATTAGCTTTATTTTTAGATATTTTCACAGTGCCCGAATTACGTGTTTTGGCGATGGAAAATTGGGGCTTAATTACCGTACGCCAAAAGTTGGTGCTTTATAATCAACGCCTGAATAGTTTACGTGAGAGGAGAGTTGTGACAGATGTCATTGCGCATGAGGTTGCACATATGGTAATTCTTTTCTAACACCTGATATTTATTAAGAAGTAATCAGAACTCGTGAAATACTATAGCTTAACAACACACTTTTCGGTGTCCATGTGCAATAGTTCCGAAGGTTATAGCGGTTTGGATGTCAAACGAATCCTGTTGGTTTAAATATTAAATGACAGATACTCTAGACTAATTATTATTTGGAGCAGTAATTTCAGATGTTTAACAAATTTAATGAGGAAAAGATTGCGGGCTTTAGCAGGTCTATGGGATTTTACTTCCTGTTTTTAGTGGTTTGGAAATTTGGCGACAATGCGTTGGTGGAATGATCTATGGTTGAACGAAGGTTTCGCAACGATGATGGGTCAAAAAGCAGCTGATTTTGTTGAAAATACAACATTAAGAATGGTATTTTGCATAAATCTTTTCTCGAAATTGTCACGAAAAGTTCTTTTTCTCTTAAAAAAAAGCCCCTACACGAAAATATAGCATTATATTAAAATATGATATAATACTTGTAATTCCGTATAAAATGCAATCAAAATTGATTTAGAAACAGTAGATTGGTTCCCTGAGTGGTGTCAACAATGTCAGCCGTTAAATCAAATTAAAGTAATTCTGATCGGTATAATTCTGATCAGGTATAATTCTGATCTGATCCGTTTCAATATAATTCTGATCAGGCACTATACCAAAATAAGACCAACTATTGCATTAACTGAATGACACTTATTATTATTACTCCTTTCAGGGATTATTATTACTCCTTTCAGCTCCTTTCAATGACACTTATTATTATTACTCCTTTTATTTATATGTAGTTCTATATTAATTTATAATTTGAAGCGTTCGTTTTTTACTGCATACAGAATAGAAAATTCATTTTTTTGACTAATCATAATTAGAGCCTATTTTTAATTTAAGGATTAATATTACAGACGTCCTGAAAAATTATGTCAGAGCTTATTTCCAAGTTGAATCTTATTCTTAATTAGATGACTTCAATCTCATGGCTCTTATAGAAATATTAGCTACCTTATTCTTTACCTATGGATTTTTATAAATGATTAATGAAATTCTCAAACGATAGAATGTGCAATAATTATTTGCTTGCAGTCACAATGTTTTGCGGCTGATATTACTCTAAAAGCGTTGTCAAGTGACCAACATACGACAATGACACAACCAATAAGTTTAAAGGAAAATAGTGATCGTATACATGGTCAGGATATCAAAATAATCTATAATAAGGTATTTACTATAATTCCATGCACTCATTCATTTTTATCTATAATGAGATGGCTGATCTGAATCGGATTGTTGAAAAAAAAACTACCATAATATACAATATCAATGTTAGACTACTTGGTCTTGCTATCATTATTAATTAGGAAGAATGAGAAGCAAAAATTGTGAAATCCTTAGGAATCCATATACAAAAACTAATATACATCTAAAATGTAAGTAATACTGCAATTAAATTGGTAATTTGCGTCGTACATTACTTGGGATACTTTTAATATACAAGACAGTGCACTCTTTAGCCATATGATCGGACTATATTACTTATTCTACTTCACGGATATTTCGATCACGTTTTAGGGAGCAGCAGTAATCCGTATGGTGGAATCAACAATTGGTAAAGAAGTTTTTCGACAAGGACTGAATCTCTATCTAGTAGAATTTGCTTATGCAAACGCTGAAAAGAGCGACCTTTTGAGCAGTTTTTCGAAGTACGTATATATTTTAACTATTTAATCAAAATTCGGAGGCTAATATTACAAGTTTTCTAAAGGAAAATTGACATATTGAATAAATAATCTAGCAACAAATTACAGTATGTTATACAAACAATTTAAATTTTATGGCAGTTTAAATTTTATTAGAAATTTTTAGAAATGTATTTCGAAATTGAATTTTTTGCTATGGTAATTTATAAACAAATCTAACATGTTCTTCTTGTTCCTTTTTATTTATTTATTCATTATTGTTACTATATTATTGCTGTTATTACTATTATTATTGTTATTATTATTATTATTATTATTATTATTATTATTATTATTATTATTATTATTATTATTATTATTATTATTATTATTATTATT